TTGAGACCGAGCCGAATTTAATGACATTTCGTTTTGCGAGTATTTTTTCCAATGATTTTCTTTCATATTTAAAGGGATGGTTTCTCGGCTGGGGGCATGTGCAAGCTGTGACGTTAGTCCATCTAATTCCATTGTTAACAGGAAACAACCAAAAGCAAGCTGACGCTTTTTGCGGGAAATTGTTTTTTTTTTTTAAAGTTTCGAGGTCAGTAACAAAAACCCTGCAATAGAGGTGATATTTCTCACCCATCGTTTATGAACCAATTGGATGCTAGTAGATAACTTGTGCGTGTGTACAGAATAAATCCTTCGGCCCGGCGATATAAAAATGCGATGTTCCATTCTATAAAATTCGACACATTCTATGTAGATCGGTCGATATCTTACGGTAAATTTAGGCATCAGTCAATTATAGTCCGTGATTGCTGAACTAAAGAAAGCGAAAAAGTTACTTTCTCATGCGATAGTTTAGGCATGCGCCCAACCGTGAACTTTCCCTTAAATTGTGGTATATAAATACAAAACTGAAGTTACGCTTTGAGTTAGGACTCAAACCAAATTAGCATAATCGGCAAATAAAGGTCTCTTTATGCAAATACGGTCAATACTCAACGGAGTCGGTGAAAAAATTGTCAGTTTACCGGCGATTATTTCGTTTGAGCTCGCGTGACTACCGCGATAACTGATGGCAGGTGAACAGCGGGTCACGCTATAAAAGCTGTTTACGCGGTAGTTACACAATCATTACGAAGTTACCAAAGTATTTCTTCGCCATTGAATTTCATGTCGGCGATGTGATAATAAAATTGAATGAACTTCGCCAACTAATGCTGTGAATGTTTTGCGAAATCTAGGATCGGCTGGCGGGGACATACTAAAGCGATGACAGGAACCAACTCACTGACATGGAACCGTTAGTTGAAGAGGAAGAAAGCGCTTCAGTTAGCGAAGGCCGACATTTTGATGTCACCGAAAATGATGAGGAAGTAATGGGCGATTGGGAAGACAACGACTCCGAGAGGTCCCCGTTTATTGAGCAACGCGATGCTAGCGGTTCGGAAGGTACCTCCATTAAACGAAGGGTCGGACTTATCCACGCGATTGCCATGATCGTAGGAGGAATTATTGGATCAGGGATTTTTATATCACCACGGCACGTTCTGGGTAACGCCGGTTCCATTGGAGAAACATTGCTGGTGTGGACATTTGGCGGAGTGTTAAGTCTCCTGGGTGCACTATGCTACTGTGAATTAGGAACATTCATCGAAAAATCTGGCGGTGAGTATATTTATTTGAAAATCGCTTATGGTCGCTTCATCGGGTTCTTGTACAGTTGGGTGAATGTTTGGTTCTTGGACCCAGGCTCTCACGCCATTCTAAGCCTCACTTTCGCTGTGTACGCTACACAACCGTTTTTTCCCAGTCGAGGAGCAGCAGCTTGCCACCCACCTTTCGGATTGGTCAAACTTCTGGCAGCTTGTGCAATCTGCATCTTGACAGCCATGAACTGCATAAGCATCCGCTTAGCTGCCCGTGCACAAGTGTTGTTCACCGTCTGCAAACTTCTAGCAATTGCTAGTATTGTCATCGTGGCTTTGATCCGTCTGTTGTCTGGTCATACACTGGCGTTTCATCAGCACGCTTTTGACGGCAGTACTACTAACCCGGGTGCCATAGGGCATGCTTTCTACAGTGCAATGTGGGCGTATGGCGGGTGGAGTGGCCTCAACTTAATAACGGAAGAAATCATCAATCCGAACAAGAACTTCCTACGAGCCTTAATGATATCCGTTCCTCTAGTTACCGCGTGTTACATTTTAATAAACCTGGCGTACTTCAGCGTGTTAACTAAGGAAGAGATTCTCGCTTCCGATGCCGTCGCCTTGACGTTCGCTTCCCGTTTGAGCCCTGTTTTCGGAATGGCCATGCCTCTGATCGTATCTCTGTCTTGTTTTGGTTCCCTTAACATGGGAATCTTTACCAGCGCCAGGGGGATTTTCTCGATCGCCAGAGAAAGACAGCTTCCCTTATCGTTAGCCATGGTCCACAGGAAGACCCAAGCCCCTCTTCCTGCGCTCTTTCTGCGCTCGTCGCTCGCTCTCTTGATGCTCATACCCACAAACATTGAAAACCTGTTGAACTGGTTACTTTTCGTCGAGTGGCTGGTACTCGCAGCTGTCTTCGTGGGCGTGGTTTGGTTGAGATGGAAAAAGCGCAGTACCCCGAGATCCTTCAAAGTCACTATAATTGTTCCTATTTTCATGGCCGGGGTTTCGCTGTACTTCACGGCCACTCCCTTTCTCTCTAATCCCGTCGAGTCAGTGTTTGGCCTCACAGTTATCCTCGCGGGAATTCCAGCTTATTATGTTTTCATAAAAAAGGACTGGACATCGAAATCAGAACGCTTCAACAGACTTTCCTCCAGAATGTCCTATTATATTCAAGTTATTTTTAATGTCGTTTACGTTAGGTCTACGTTTGGTAGCGAATGAATTGAAGCGTTTAACTAAACCTGAACCTCTCTACAACGGCCACCTTGGAGACAAAGAATTAAAGGCCGTTGTAGCGAGGTGGCCGTTATGGGGAGGTAAGGGTGTAACATGGCACCTGTTTTCTTCGGAGGGTGTAACATTTTTTCATATTTTTAAAATACTTATTGCAAGATCTCAATACGTAACATAATCAAAACATATCAGTACAAAAGAAACCAAAAGGAAAGAGACCAACGGAGCGCGGTACCGATCAAGTCTCGTGAACTTTTACAATTACAATAGGGGTTTTTACGATAACTGCAGAAATTCTCGCGCGCTCATTGGCTAATTTTCATTGTCAAATAGCCTGCGAGCAGGCTCACATTTGGGAGCACACACGCAAGCGGCGAAGAGCGAATTCAAAAGCGAAGCGATCCGGCGGGGAGGAGTCTGATGAGGAGGCACTTTGACAATGTTATGACGAAATTCATGATCAATAACAGGACAGACGCATGAAAAACTGAAGTCAATTTGTTAAGTTGTAAACACCATTTGTTAGTCGTTGGTGAACTGGCCGTTGTCGAGAGGTTATTTTGGCAGTCGGACGCGTTTTAGTGGCCGCTGCCGCTGAAGAAAGTTGGTCGTTGTAGAGAGAGGTCAAAATACGAGTGAATGTATGGACCGTCCGCCGGGACAAGAAAAAGTGACCGTTGTATTTTCAATGCAATATATATTTGTAATTTAACCAGGGAAGCAACAATGTAAATGATACGTGTATATTTTGTAGAATTTAGCTCTGAAAATGCACTTTAAATAATGGAATATTTAAATTATGAATGATGAAAAAGAGCACTGTAAAAAGTGAAAAACATTGTTCAGTAAATTCGATTTTAAAAATTGTAAATTTTATACCAGTTTTGAAAAGTGTCCTCATTGGTTTCGAGTTGAAACTAAATCAAATGACACTTCTTTCTTAATATTACCATAGAGATAAATTCGCTCGAAGAAGCGAAGATTTTGGACCATACTTTTTTCAAAGTTAAATAAAATAAAAGCCATTTATTAATGCTTTGTGTATACTTTTAATAACGTATATCCACTATTGAGTATTCCGTACGAGCTTGGGCTTTTTTCGGTGGCATCATTTGCAGAGAGGAAATCTTTTACGTTGCTTTTTCAAAGAAATCACGCAAGAAGTACCTGACACAAATGCTTCTTCATGTTCCTACTGCAGCTCATTTTTTCCTCTTTCACGACATTAAAAGATTCTCCTTTAGTCTTTCTATTTAGTCTTTCTATAAGCGGGTAACTAAGCAGGCCATCTTCACTTGGGTCACTTTCACTGTGAAAATATGACTTATAATCTATCGTGACTGTTCGTACGAATATGAGGTTGCATTCGGCTTAGCAGGGTGCCATGGAGACAAGTATCATGTGTAGTCCGTGTAAATCGCTGGATTTCTTAAATTGCGATCTGTTTTAAGTTATAAAGCTATGTTTGCGCTGCAAACTAGAGCGGTTATCAACTAAGTGTCAAAAAACCGAAACTAAAGTAATCTCTTTGGTCATTCACAAAGAACATAGACAATCCAGCGAACCAATCAAAACACAAAGCGCGGGAAAAAAGTATATGAGCGAGTCGCTATTGGTTTAGCTGATTGGTTTTGTCTTTACTTCTGACTGGATGAGAAAGTGGCGCGAGATTTTTAAACCAATCACAAAAAAGTAGTAATTGAAAACCAAAGAATTCGCGAGTTACTTTCCACGCTCAACTGAAAAGCTTTCTAATATGTTAATTAATCAGCATAATAGAACGTCGGCCTTCAATGAGCAAAACAAGTGGAACATAACCGCGCCTGTTTGATGATTTTGCGTCCACGAAAACCGAAGCTGAATCATCTTAGTATACTGTTTAGTTTCAATCGTCCAATTCTTGTGTAAAGGCTTCAGCAAAGGCCTGATGGAGGTAAAGATCCTTGAAAAGTTTCTTTTTAGCTTGAAGTCCTCTTCTAAACGTTGAAGTGTTTTTACCTGAGGAAGAGCAAATGTTGAAACTGTGATCAGAACACTGAGGGGGAACCAGCGTGAGACTAGCAAATCCAAACTCAGCCAGTAACGCGGCTGGCTAGACTGTATGCAGTACAGAAACCTCTATTTTCCAAGAGCAGGTCAAGGCACACAATGTACAACAAGTGTCGCGACATGTCAATCTATTGCATGTGGGCACGTGACAAGGTAAAGTCTGCATACGAGCCAAGTGACCCATCAGGCCAGAGCATATCTCTGGTGTCTGAAGCATGAAGCGACCAGGAGTATTTCTACTCCCCCCCTGGATGGGATACCCCATCACAGGGTTACCCCCAGCATTAAATTCACCTGTACCCATTTATACACCTGGATGAAGAGAGGCACTGTGAGAGTAAAGTGTCTTGCCTAAGAACACAACAAAATGTCCCCAGCCAGGGCTCAAACCCAAACGGCTCAATCCGGAGGCGAGCACACTAACCATGAGGCCAGCGCGCCTCTGTACCAGCACGCCTCTTCACCCCCTATTTTTAATCACTTCACATTGAGTCTGTTGCAACTGGAATAAAGCAAATCAATGAACATCTCAACACTATATCTTACGATCAAGTTTTATAGAGTTCACTGAACATCCATTACTTCTACATGTCAGTTCGTGGTTCTATCCACCATTTGGAACATACAGTATCTGTACAATGAAAATGATCAGAAGTCTAACTGACACCAAATTTCCAGCAAAATTGATTTCTGAAATTTTCATTGTCATTCGGGTCAGTCACTGTAAAATTTGTGTAACATATTCACTTACCCTGAGTAAGAAATTCAACCCCTGATGGCTGTGTTAGTGTGAGTCTGTCATATGTCAATTTTACCACTACATTTTTATCCTGGCTGTCAACATCCTGAAATCAAGTTCATAACATTTGGTTAACACCTCAAATCACAAGGTTAGCTATTATGGCAATTATCCGCACTATTCTCCATGAGTTTCCAAAAATTCCATAAGCAGAATCAGAATCTGATTTTGGGTCACGGTACATTGGGGCTACAGCTACATGTAGTACATATAATTGTCCAGTTGTCCATGGTTGCTGCCCTTGAAGATAATAAAAAATTTCCGTGACATTTCTCAGCTTTTGTCAAGCTTGGTCTAATTTCTTAAATTTGTACATTGGTCATAATGAGACAATAATTTTTCCCTGGCTTTAACAAGGAATTTTGAATTTCAGATATTAAATTCCCTGGCCTTGAATTTTGTGCAATAAAATTGTTAAAAAAAGTAAAGTGAGACGTTGACAATTAAACATCATTGTTGAGGCACAGTAAACTAAATGATTGGCATGTTTGACTCCTGTTCAAGAGATTTGTTTTGGCATTGCCAGTGATTATTGTGTGGGAGACATTAAATGCTCACAGCAACTGACTAAGATATAAAAAGTTGTTACGATGGGCTAAAAACATGTTGGGGGGGAGTCACCCCTTAAACTACACCCACCTGCACCTTGCCTGCAAGACTTAATTTGTTACATTGGAACCTCGATTTAATGAACCTCTACATCACAAAATGCTCTGTATAATGAACGACATTTTTTGCCCCAGTAATAGTAAAATGTATGAAAATAACCTTGATACAACAAAACCTCGTCATAGCGAACATATTTTGCCAGTCCCTTGGCCCTCCGTCATATCAAGGCTCCACTGTACCATACATTAAAATGCTGATTTTAGAAATCCTCTCTTTACCTTTGTTTTCAACTGGATAAAGTCATGTGCAGGACTGCAAGATATTTCCCCCTCCAGTTTCTCTCTGTGTTGCTCTTGACAAAGGTGAACCTTAAATCGTATAAAGTCACATTTCTTAAAGTAAACAAAATCCTTTTCATTCTAATACCTCCATAACAGGCTTTTTGCACTAGAGGAGTCAGTAGGTTCCAAGATTCCACATTGGCAACTTAATAATTTGGACTTTAGTTCCAGTTCTCGTCTACACAGTGTTTATTTGGCCTCCAAAATGCCACAAAAATCAAGAGTTCTTTAGATAAAGGAAAGGATTGACTGAGCCTTTGTTCAGGCTGGAATAAAGTGGTCGTAACAACAAGCTGACCAGATGACTGGGTGGCTATAAGGTGGGGTTCCACTGTGTACATCATTTTCGACACCAGGGACTTCTAGGGCGATAAACCTTGAAAGCATTTATTTTGGTTAGGATCCTCCTTGACCCTTAAGGGGTTTTTTACAACGATTAAACGATAAGGATGATGGCTAGATTACAAGTGGGAAAGAATTGCAGCTCTGTTTTTTTCCTTACCTGCTCTCGTCTTGCCACAAATGCATTGAGATGCTCAGAGATGACCATAAAGAATTTCTGAAATGACAAATGTAACTCATCTCAGTCAACAACTTTGAAGGAATATGTCCAAAGTTAACATGAACTTTCTCAGCAGTTAAATAGAAACAAGCTCAGTGCCTCAAACCAAAGGGCAAAATCAAGAAATGTTGAAACATGGCAAACTGTGGACAAGAAAGGGACTTTCATACATGAAGGATCATCACAGTTATGCACAAAACATTAAGTCTTTGCAAAAATAAGGCCTGGCTATTTTTCAGGCATTTTTTTTTTTGCCTGCAATCAATTATAAGATATATGATATTGCCTGAGACATCCTGAACCTACAATATTCAATAATAAGTGATTATAAGTTACCAATAGAAGTACCTTTATGTCACTGTTCAAGTACTGCTGGCTAATTGTGTCAATGGGAATAAAGTAAGGTAAAGTGTGCTTGTGAATCTGAGAAAAAGAGCACAGATAAACAGAAGAGAAGACAACTAACTCTTAAGTATTGGAGTGCTGGAGATCAACCCGAGTACTCTATTCTGAGCATTGGCCCTAGAAATGAAATGGGGGACCACATCAGGTAAACAAAGATTCTTTGACTTCGCTGGGATTCAAACCCACAACCTCTGGATTAGATCACTGTTACCCTACAAGGCCTAGCAGGAGCAGGTACCAGTACTGCTGATAATTTACTATGGTGGAAAATCATGGCAAGGTAGATATTAAGGGTACTCTAAAGAGCTTTATAATCTCTGTAAGTTCTTTTGAGGTGTTTCGTTTCCAAACTAAGCCTTTTTAGAGGAAAGGGGGGATTACTTTGGAAGAGTAATTGAACAATAGAGAGAGGTTTATCTCCATGATCACAAATCATCTAGCAACCATGAAAAAATATGTCAGTATAGCTTTAATTTTTAACAAAACATTAATATAGAGCATGGTAACTGAAAGCACAGTACATGGTAACTGAAAGCGTGGTAAAGCAATATGATTTTATTTTCATCTTAAACATTGTTTCTTCTTTGTGGAACATCAACTAAGGTGTCTTCGAGCACTTGCCTGTAGATGTTATGCATGTAGTGTTGCAATAATTGACTTACCTTTAAAGTGTTGTCTTTCAATTCCACTTCAACGTAATAAGGTTCATGATATCTAGCTGTTGATCAAAAAAGATGTCTTCATAATCTATTTTTATAACAATGTTTTTTGCACGCTACAACTGACATTGAAATACTTCAGTTCACTGAACCATTAAGGATCAAACAGGATAGTTTTGAACCTGTTGCTGAAAAGAGTTAACTCTTCAAGCCAGGTTAATATGAAAGAACACCAAATGTTTAGTTAACAAATCCATTACAGTTGTTACTTACAGTTAAAAAAGGTTTCACATCTAAAGCAAGTTTGTTTTGTTTCTTGTGATACTACTGAAATACCAGTCAGTCTGTAGGCATCACAAAGATCAACGAGCTGAAAGATAGATATTTAAGAATAATTCAGTCTTCAGAGGTCAGTGTTTAAGGCGGATTCTGGGTTTTCCTTTACTACAGGCAACAAGTATTACTTTTTTCTAGTTTTGAACAACTTTGATTAGTTAGAGTATTGTTATTGATGATTTCTTCCCCAGCCTGCATTCTATTCTTCTACTCCAACTTTATTAAAAGCAATTGAGAGTACAGTGTTAAGGAAGACACCAAGTAACTGGGAAAGTAAATTAAAGCAAAGTCTCTTTGGGGCCTAGTGTCTCAAGAGGTTGATGGTTCAGGGCAGGAAAAAAATTTGAAATCCACTTGCCCAGTGGGCCAGTAAATTTCAGTTTTCACTTGCCCCCACTTAAATATTACTTGCCGATGTGGCAGCCAGAATGGCAATCAGAGGACAAATGCAAACCAAGTATGCTTGGATTCCTAGCAGCCTTAAGATTTGAAATAACTTCTGACTAGAAATTATCATTTATCAAGCTGACATTTTTAATCAGACTCGCAAGACCAGTGAGGCCAATTTTAATTTCACTCGCCGATCAGGCCACTGGACTTCAATTTTCACTTGCCCAAGAGCAAAATTCACTTGACCTGCGTAATCGGACCTGGGTTTTTTCCTGCCCTTTGGTTAACTAACTCCAGATTCTATAGAATGAAGCAGCTTGACTTGTTGTTACTCCCCCCCCCCCCCCCCCCCCCCCCCCCCCCCCCCCCCCCCCCCCCCCCCCCCCCCCCCCCCCNTCATACACTCAACCAAATTTTGATCAAATATGATGAAGAAAGATATCTCAGCCAGTTTGTATCAGTAATGTTTGATTCTTTGGGGTACGATTCTACTAAACATGCTCCAT